GGGGCCCAGAAGAAAATCTTTGGGAACCACTGTATTTATTCATTCGTATGCTGTGTATTTATGTTATCCTACACTACTACACAATTATTAGGCTACCATCAAGGACATGAATGAATTTATACAGGAAATGAACATTTGCCAGGAAGCTGTTTATGCAAAGAAAGAGCTTTATTAAAACACACACAACTATATACAACGCGTATCCAAACACATGCGTATCTAAAAATTACAACTCCGTGAACGGTCCGTTTGCTTCCTCGGGGTTGGAGGTAACAGGCAGCATTCCCTCCAAGGCAGGTCCGATGTGCAGACGCCTACTGTGCGTGGCCCTGTACTTCGGCATCGCTTCTAACCGGGACTGCAGCTTAACACAGAGTTCAGTGAAATCCGGCCTACGAAATGGCGGCGACCGTACAATCCATCCAGAGACACCGCCAACGACGCCATCTTGTTCGTCGGACATGAGGCCGACGTGGCGGACTTCCAGAGTTCCACTTCCTCATCTGCTAGCACACTCTGCCTCGCTTTCAGCAGCTGAAAAAAAAACAATGAATCAGCGCACTGCGTATGGACACAACACATCTATCAATGCACCTGAAAAATAGTCACCAAATAAAGTCTTACCCTCTTTCTTCTGGCCCGACTCCGAGCAGATTGCTTGGCAGCCTCTGCACGCAACGTGTTGGCTGGCTGCGTATATCTGAAGCTCCTGCGTACCGTCTCAAAATACGTCTTACAGGCAGCTGGAAAACAATTAAATGAGAGTGGTATGAATAAAAAAATCAAACGCAAGTCACAGTAACAAGGACCTTACACACAATGTCGTCTTTATCAACATCGTGCAAATCTGGACTTGCTGATATGGCTCCGAGCAAATAGGAGGTCTGTGAAAACAAAATGTACAGCTATGATCGGTATCTATCCGTATCCATTGCCTTTTACCGCAGAATGAAAGCATATTCTTTAAATCTTACCCTTGCTCCGGTTCATAGCGCCTGCAATTAGTCTCCGAGTTGTGAAGACGGCTAACTGCTTCCTGTGAATCACAAAAAAATACACTTTAATAAAGCTTGTTCTTGCAAGGCTACTATTAGCCGTAGCTTTAGGCTAGGCTGCTATTAGCCGTAGCTTTAGGCTAGGCTGCTATTAGCCGTAGCTTAGGCTAGGCTGCTTTTAGCTTAGCAGGCAGTAATCGAACATATATTTACCGCTAGCATCTCTTCTTTGAGTTCGTCTTGTTCGACCTCAGAGTCGCCATTGCGTCCAAGAGGAGTTTTACCCCGAAATCCCACATACTCCGCTCCAGACCGCCTGCACAAAGCAAAGCATACATCCAGACCGCTCCGCTCTGAATTTCTTGGAGATCGTAGAGAGCATGCGCGAGATGAACCAGGGTTTCCGCGGATCAATAAAAATTATTTAAAAAGAATTCTTTTTTTTTTTAAATCAAGGCCTTAATTGGCACTAAAATTATTTAAATATGTTTATCGAAGTATTTATAATTCTTTAATAAAAAATGCTTATAAAAACAATTTCGTCAGATATATTATATCGCTCCAGGCGGAGAAAAAGCTAGAGGATATATATATACGTATATACAGTATGTGTGTGTGTGTGTTTACATACATACAGGAGTCATGGAACTGTGCTTACAGCTCCTTCATATTTTATGTACACTAATAACTTGTGTACATGGTTCTTGTTGATGGCATTAAAATCATTTCTAATAGCATTAAAATAGCATTAAATTAGAGTCACTCATTCCTGTATGAACCCTGTGAGCGCTTAATTTAATATGACATATTAAAAAAATCCCACCATCATCCAGCATATGTTCAGTTTCTGCCCAAATATATATATATATATATATATATATATATATATATATATCTGTAGATTTTTGTAACGGGGATAAGGATAATTCAAAACTGCTTTTTTTGAATGAACTTCTCTACTCCCAAACTCAGCATCTCTTTTCATTCCTGTAATAAGAAGTTTCTTTTGAATGGATTTGATTAAAGTTTAAGTCCCTCGGTATAAAATAAATATTTTGATGGAGATGAGAAATCTGCTTCCTTGTTGGTGAATAACCAATAGTTTGGATCCAATCATTTAAATAAACTGTGTTAGATTTTTTTTTTATATATATAAGAATTGTGCTATAATTTCTAGTCACCGATCTGTTGCTGCTATATTTTAATTTGACGAACCGGAATTTGTCGATGTTCTTTTTCCTGTTTGGTGCGATTGCAATTGCGGATCTTGACCTGGCCGGACCTTATGACCACAGTGTACCAATCTTCTGATGGCTACTTCCAACAGGATAATGCGCCATGTTAGAAAGTGAATCATCTCAGACTCATTTCTTGAAACTTTTCCACTTAAGTAATTGTGAATTGAGCATATTGACAGACAACATTTTATTTTTTATCTTAAATGCAATTTTTTTTTTTTTATAATTACTGCTCTAAATGTATTGCTCTGTCAGCTAAAGATCTGTTTTGGTCTCTATACTTTAATTAAATAAATCAATTCAAGCTAAAATGTAAGAGGCTATACTGAGCCTGATCTCTTACCTTTTAGAAAAATGTCACTTGGAGTAAAACCCCCCCTGCAACCCTGATTTGCATTTGTATAGCTCACAGCATGTTCATTTACATGTTAAAGCCTCCCCTAGAATTCCATGGGGGGGAGGCATGGGGGGAACACTGTCTAAGAAAGTCCACGTCAATTTCTGACAATTTACGGGAGTTTTCGGCGAAGCCTGCAAATTGCCGTAAACTGCCGCTAACCTGAAGTTCCACGACAATCTACAGTGCTGCATATTGACGAAAATCCCACTTTTCATGCAGTGTCTTTGGTAACACTTTACATAATCACCATTAATAAGTGGTGCAGAGACCATTTCTTAATGATCAAAACATTTTTGATTAAAAGGTTTATTGATTATTAATAATCATTTATAAACTGCATCTAAACCATTAATACAAGATACATAGGCCATATTACCCTGCCATGTAAGTTTATCCCTTCCCTAACACCAGTGGACTTATGGTTTAGGGCCAGTGGGGTCAAAAGTACACACATTTGTTACTTAATTTGAAGTATAGATACTGCAGTTTAAAAACACTCTGGTAAAAGTTGAAGTATCAACTTGACTCTTTGCTCAAGTAAAAGTGAAAAAGTATGTGCTCCAAAAACTACTTAAAGTATAAAGTAACCTTTTAAAAAACAGCCAGATGCCACTATATGAATGGAAAGCTAAATTTTTGACTATTTCGAAAAATTCTTTGAGATAGGGCCAAGAATGAGGGAGGTCTTGTTGGTCTTCATCTCCCAATACGCTCTCGCCTACTGTATGTCCGACCTTTCAGACATTTCTACATCTTTTTCTGAATCCAACGATGTAGCATGTCATAGACAATTCGCGTTTGCAGTTTGAAGAACACCTGCTTGCTTCTGATGATTTCCTTTGGCATCAGCACAAATTTGATGAATAGCTAATATTTATACAGTAAATATTAAACGGAAGCCAAGAGTAACGAGTAACGTTTGTTTTAAAAATGTAAGGTATAGAAAGTACAGATACTTCTGTGAAAATGTAATGAGTAGAAGTCAGAATTGGGAAGAAAAATAAGTAATGGAGTAAAGTATGGATACCTTAAAAGTGTACTTAAGTACAGTAACAAAGTATTTGTACTTTGTTACTTGACACCTCTGTTTAGGATTGCACAGCGGGTAGCGCTGCTGCCTTGCAGCAATAAAGTTCTGGGATCCATTCCCGGCCGGAGCTCTTTGTGCATGTTCTCACCGTGCATGCTTGCATACTTGGCCTTCCTGGTTACTTGACCTCACAAAATTCTCCCTAGGTGAGTTTGTATGTGCATGGTGTATCTTTGTGTGTCCCTATGTTGCCCTGCGATAGACTGGCGCCCTGTCCAGGTTGTACCCCGCCTCTCGCCGGAGATAGGAATAAGCCCCACTGACAAGGACTAAGTGGGATGGATGGATGATGGATGGACGGATGGATGCAGTTTACAAATAGTCTAACATTCAATGGTCTCTTTACCGTTCATTAAATTAGGGGTTTTGTTAAGTCTAACCACATCTTCCTTTACATTAAGATTTGGATTAGAAAAAAGTTATTATTTTTAAAGTACACAGCAGATATTTAAATCTACGTCAAGTTTTTCCAAAATAAGTATATATGTTTTAATAAAACAGGTAGGTGAGACACTTTGCAAATTGAATAAGACAATTTACATTTAAGAAAAAAAAACAAAAAAAAAACACAAAATGTTATTTAAACTGCAGAATATTTATTTATCTTATTTTAAAGATAAGAATATTAATTCCATTTAAGTTATTTAGCTACCCAATATAAGGTTTAATACACTGATTTTTAGATATTTTTTTGCAGAAAAAGTGTTGTTTAACTACTATAAACTATGATTATTTTTAGACCACACATTAGTTAGACACTTTTATATATTAGGAAAAAGTACAAAAATAGTGATCAGGATATCCCTCCTGCTACTGTGAATCTACGTATAACATAATGGCTTAAAAGGCCATGCTGACATCACTTGACTAGTAATTGAGTGATTGTTTTCAATAGTCCTTATTACATTATGTTTTTTTTCCCTCAAATAAAATGCCATTTTCTTTTCTTAACTTTTTATTTTCCTCTCCTCTTGTCCTCCGACATCTCTGTGACAAATTTCCACAAAGGCTGGCACTTGGGGAAATAATAGCAAGAGTCCCCTCCTTAACTCCACCTCCATTCCACCAATCACCACACCCCATTTACATTCACTCCATTCATTCGAGCAACATCCTTCTAACGCAGTGTTATGACTAAATATGAAATATGGTAGCAGGGTGGGGGAAACTGAATAATGTCGGAGAACAGCTGAGCTTTGGAGCGTGGTGAATACTTTTACAGCAATTTTTTATATATAAATCATTATTCTTGCTGCTCTCTTTCTGCTCTCTTGCAGTGAATGAGTGGTTGCTAAAATAGCCCCCCCACACCCCGCTCCACCCCCCTGGATGAGCGAGGAGGAGAAACGAATGTCAGAGATGGAGAGTGGAACGAGGCAAGCAGGAGGAATAACGGAAACGAGGAATCGGTCTAAAGGCTTCATCTCATCTGAGAATCTTTCATGGCATTGTATAAAGAAAGAAACACTGGTCATTTTTTTTCCTGAATAAGAGAACTTACAAAAAAAGACTCTTCTTTTCATACATTGAGAACTGTTTCAACCCTCAATCCAACACATTCTAACAAGCCATTTCCCCACACTGTATGACTACATCTATATAAACATTTTGATACAAATGATTTTTTTTTCTTTTTTGTGGGTGGTGGGGGACAATCTAAAAAGACACTTAAGTGTTAAGAGAAAAAAACAAAACTATTATTTAAAGAAATTATTTGATAGCCTCCTAGCCAACAGGACAACCTCGGGACTCTGAAGCCTTTGTATATAAAAGAAGCAGCCATCAGTGGTACTGTCCAAGAACAAACATGAAACCGTGGGTTGACTCTAAACAGGAAACAGGACTCACACAATCATTTCATCAAGGTCACCCAACAGGGCTTGTCATCAGCAGAGTGGAACAAACACAGCACAGCCTTACTTAGTCATTTTCCCAAACTGAGTCATGCTACAGGATCCAACAAGCCCATGTCGGCTCGGAGCGTCTTGGCCTCGTTTGTATATATTATTACTATTATCAATACTGGAGAAAAATTATGATGTAAAGAAAAAGTGATAAATAACAAAATAAAAAGATATATTAAAGAGGATTTGAAAAAAAAAAACTCACAAAGGTTCAGAATTTTAAACAGCTTTGCACACTTTGAATTCTTGTGCGGGTTCTCAGTGTGAGCTGATGCCTTTTTTCTGTTTTCTTGTTTACAATGGTCATACACTGTGTTTGAGTAATGTTATCAGCCCAATAAATGTGTCTACAAAGCCTATATAAAGATTCTACGTCCCTATATATGTTCTGCTTTCTTACTGTTCTACTTTCATATGGAAACAGAGCGATTCCACCTTAAACATGGGGTTCTTTATTAGGAAAAAGGTCACACTTCTATGTCTCATCTCCTCTTTTATGTCTCACTGTAAAAGTGATTTAATTGCTCTCAAACATGGACGCAGATGGCACTATGATTAGTGACCCTGAGCATTAGCCACCCCCTCCCCCACTTGGCCATACAAGGGGAGAACTAGAAATTTCCTGCTGGCACTTTTCATTAGGGGTTGAATTGATAATTTAAAGCTATAGCCCATCTAGTGCTGCCACCTGCAGGTGACATTCAGTGTAAAGATTCCATTGTTGTCCGCTTAAGTATTGAAAGAGCTGACCTGGTAATTTAATGGGATCAATTCGCATGTGGGAACGGTGCTAATTCTTGTACGACCCAGTAATTTGGTACTAGTACATTACCAAAACCTATGTGTTAAAGCGGCTTAAAACTGCCAAAGCAGTTGATTTCAATTCCTCAAACCACAATGAAATTCATAACACACACCACTCCAATGTATAACATACTTTGCATGAATAACTATTTTATTCATTTTCATTTGCCAGTTAATAGTAGCATGTTTAACCATAAATCCCCCCTGCACACTGTCCTTTATCAGAAAGTTGCCATCACCCATCTGCTCTCCACTGAGCCTTGTTGCCTTCACTGTTTGCTGTACCTTTGACATAGTCATTGATGAGAGTCGTACCGCAAAACATGAAAAGAGCACCTAAAAGTGGATAGCCAACTATTTTTCACTGTTGGTCGATGCAAACGATGGCCCTCTTGATAAAGCAGGACACCAACCGGGTGTTTATTCACCAACAGGCCCGGCAGATAACCCAGCCTTTGATAACCTACTGCACCCTTCAATTGGGGAGTATTGTCCTAGTGGTTAGAGCTCTGAGAAGGTTGCAAGTACCAGTTTCGACCCCCACAGCCTCCACTCTGGGTTCCTGAGCAAAACCCTTAACCCCTGATTGCTCCCCGAGGGCCACACAATGGCAGCCAGCTGCTCCCCAAAGGGATGGGTCAAAATGTGGAGAACAGATTTTCCCATTTTCTGACAATAAAGGGATTTACATTTTGTTTTTTAATCGGTAGAGCTACCAGAAGAGGAAAACGTACTATAGACATTTTCTGAAAAACTATTTCTAAACATTTGAATTCCAGAATAATACCAGACCCTGTACTTCCAAAATACAATTTTATGTTTCACAATTACTAAATGGTCACTTCTTGAACCTCTAAAAGTTGCTCAAGCCCCAAATATTTAAGCATGAACTCCTTGAAGATGAATAGACAGAGGTAAGTAAACATCACAACAACACACTGAAAGGCACACCATTGAGTTCCTTGATGCATATGAGTTATTTCAAGGGATTCCTCACACTACCAATGCTACGGGCGGGGCTACTGCTTAGGACAAGATGGACCGTCATTGGCCAGGTCATTTGACCTAAAAGAACATATCACTTTATGTCTTCAGGCTCTTATAATGTCATGGAGCTAAGGCTTTTTGCTCTACTATTTTTCCTCCTGCCTGACTACTGGTCATGGGCAGGCTGAAAGAATAAGCCGGATGTAAAACCAATTCTCTTTTCTCAACTTTATTATTAGACTGGTAAGTTTACATTTTGCTCCTATTTTACGGCCATATATCTTTGTTATTATTTTCAATGTTTATTAGACGCAAAATACGGGCAGCTATAGGTCTAGCGCCTCTAGTGGCCAAAAGTTACACAGTGTGTCTTTAACATCAGTCCTTCAATTATTACAATATATATTGTAGTGACCATGCTTTTTGTTCTCAGGACGTGTTCATCAGCACAGATGCGAAAAATGTTGGAGAAACAATTAAGAAAATGAAATACTTCCATCCATTTCTGCCATTATTTCCTACCCACAGAACTTTACATGCCTGATTTAATAAGTAATGAAAACCTTCAATGCAGTCAACAACAAACCCTTATAAATAGAAAAACATCCTAAAAAGGTAAGTATAAATATAGTATACTATAGTATACATATTGCTGACTGAATACGGTGCTAATATACAACTGTGGCAACATAGAGACATACTGAACGTTGGTGCATGTGGTTAGCTAACAGGCGTGAAACGACTACATCATAATTGGATGTACAACTCATTCTATATGATTGTACTGTTAACTGGGATCAATCATATACAAAATCAAATTTCCTGCACTCATGAATATCATGGTGTTCTTTTTTCACAATGCAGAATGAATATATATACGTATTTCTGTTTACAACAGGTGTAAAAAGTGTTTTTTTGTTTTGTTTTTTTTTTCGTTTTGTTTACATAAATAAGGTTTTTCCTTATAAGCCGCCAAAGAGAAGCATGTAAAAGAAGCTGAGCCGTGTACTCTGGGCTACAATTTTAAACCGCTCAGCAGGAAAAATCTCTACATTGAACTATTTCACACTGAACACAAAACGGAGAAGGACATCTGACAATGGTCAAAGCAATGAGTTGCGAGGACAGGCAGCAATCCAGCTGCAATAAGAGCGGCATGCTGGGCGTCCTTGTGTGGTTAATGGTCCTGTAACACCCGGTTTTATTTTGTTTTATTTTGTTTTCTAAAGCTACAAGTGTAGACATTTCTCAAGAGAAATATTGTAAATGAAGCTAAAACATGATGAAGTCTGTCTCTTAAACTGACCAACTCTGTGGAAGCTCTGTGACCACTGTTCAACCATCCGTGGTGCTGAAAAGCACAGATTGCATGGATGACTTTTCACCTTATATTCAAGTCATTTATTTGGAATGATGGTTATTGGTAAAACCGACTGCTTTTTAGCATACACTTGATGCATATTTGAACAAAAACTGGACTGTTTTACCAGGTTGAAGAATATGATAGCAGAAAAGGTGACCAAAGGGATGAGAGTGAGAGAGAAGGAGGCGGCAGAGAAAGAGCAGCAGTTGAAGAGAGAGAATGAAAAGGAGCTGATCGAGGGTCAGGGGACCAAAGAGTGGGAGAGGGAATACAGGGAAAAACAGTGCAGGAGGAAGAAAGCACCACAGCTATTAACAACGGTCTTTTAGTAAACCCTAACTGCTACTGCTGTGTGGGTGTGTAGTTGGAGAGTGACATGAAAGAGGGATAAAATGCAACATGACCGTTCAGACAGCGGAGTCTGATATGTATTTGATTATGAACAAATGGAAGTGGCACAGCTGAATTTTTTGGGGTATGAAAAGGTCAGAAGCTGGCCGATCACACTGCAATGAAAAAGACTGACATGAGTCACATTTACCTACAGTGAGAATGTAGCCAAAGTTGTGTAGAAATTATGGTCGACAGATCTGTAACCCCCAAATTCAAAAATGCTATCTTAAGAAATGATCAAAATAATATTTTCTAGTGTACATTTCTCAAAAAAAGCCAGTTGTACTTCTTTCAATAATTATTTCCTCTTTAGCTCTACAAGTCGATTTGCTGGTATATTTTGGGTTATGTTCAAGGTTGACTTTTTCAGAGATGGTATCCAATTTTCTTTAAGCCTTCTATGCTTCAGTTGTGGAATGAATCTGTTGACATTACATTTGATTTTATTATGGTATTTGAGTGTTCTTAGAGACCAGATACTGCCATGATCTCAGCACTGCCTGGTCTGATTACTCATTTCACACACCTGCTTAGCTCCACCCAGTTCTCCTTTTGCTCATCTGATCCACCGGCATTGCTCTCTATTTAACCAGCCCCCAGACCAGTCATCAGTGCCAGATTATTTTGATCTTTCTTGGAGACTTATTCCAGCTTTCCTTAGTTCTGACTACCTGATACTGACCTGCTCTGCATCTTGACCTCTGAGTCTGCCTGTTCCTGTCTGATCTGTTTGCCTGACCTTTCTTCTCCTGCCTTCTACCTGATCTCTGCCTGCTTGTGTACCGACCGGATCTGTTTCCCGACCACTGAGTCTGCTTGCCCTCGTCCATTCTGTCAGCTGCTCTGTGTACTGTACCTGGAACTTTTACCCAACTCCATCTTGGATTGTCCTTTGGCGCCTCACCAGATTTCTGACCTCCTGGCTCTGAAAACCTACCACCTCACAGACAACGGCTTTAACTTCCCCCTCTGTATCATCCTGGCTACATCTGTCTTCTCGGTTCTGACCTTCTGCCTGTCCTCTGACCGCTCACCACTTGAACTATAAGACCAGGTTAGTGACTCTCACATTCGTGATCATCCACTTCCAGAAAGACCTGGTCACTAACCTGCTGTCTCCAACCACAGAGGTGCCTGCTTTAGACGCCGACAACGATCACTCCAATTCTGTTTACAATAAACCTTCTGAGACTGTATGCCTTCCTTGAAAACTGGATCCTTCAGTTCTGAGCCTGACAGTTACAGTATGGCTTAAAAGTACACGTTGGATGGTTCTCTAAATGACTGACTTAAGTTCTTTGGATCCGAAATTGGTGTTATTTAAAAGTCAGGGGTATAGAAAAATTAAATGTCTGACATTGAACAGGGCATGCCTCCTTTGAAATGCAGGAAATGTGTGAGAATAAACATGATTGAAAACATGACTCACTTCATTATAGAGACAATTTGTCACAGCATTTCTAAAGTTCTCTCTTTAGTCTTTGTTATTGCTTCAGAGCATCTGAAACAGCACCATAAGGAGGTTTTAGAAAGAACTGAAGTAGTTCTGTTGTCGAGCCTTTGCTTTTTCACATTTACAGCCAGAGCAGAGACAAAGTGGAAACTGTCGGGGTTACAGTGACATGTCAGAGTCCTTCAGATTAGATCACCAAGCATCAGGGGGTAAGAAGAGGAAAGCTTCTCAAACCCACCAACTCTAGTCAGAAAACTATTTGGTGTATTATATAATGATGCTATTCTACTAGCAGTCAAAGAACATGAGTAATACATCTGTCAAAAGACAAAACATTGAAAGACGGGACTTACTTTTTGATGATTTAATTTATCCATTGTATACAGTTGTCCTTCAAAGTGTACATACATTTCCAATACACACAAAAATTAGAATAAATAAAAAGGACTAAAATAATAAAACTGAGAAAAGTACTGATAAACAAAAATTATAAAACATGCAAATCATATAATTTTGAATACATATATTATGATTTGAATATATAAATATTAAGGCTGGGACATTAACGCGTTAATTTCGATTAATTAATCACACAAATATTAACGCGTTAAAAAAATTAACGCATTTTAATCGCACACCACAGTCTCCTGGAAGTCGTTTGGGATTTCACCCAAGTAATTATTTCACCTGTGGGGGCAGCATTAGAACTATGGCCAGAATACCGTCGGACGGAAACTGAAGAAGAAGAACAGAGAAGAAAGTTGCTTTTAACTATAAGGAGAGACAACCATGGAAGAATTAGACGAAGCAGATGAAAACATTTTTGTTGGTCCTTTGCAGGGGAAATTTTGTTTTAAAATACAGGAGGGAAGAGTCGATAAGAGCGCGGTCATATGTAAATTATGCAACAAGGAATTCGCCTATCACCGCAGCGTATCAAGCCTCAAATATCACTTGAACGCAAAGCATGTAGCAGCTAGCTTGGCAGATACTAGCGTGGAAGCTAGCCCAACTGGGAGGAAGACGAAACAACCCACACTACACCAGTTGACTGGCTTCAAGGGCAGGGTAAGCAAGACCAAGGCCGAGAAAATGACCAACGCGCTGGCTTACTGGGCGGCTCTCGACTGCAGACCCATTGCTGTGGTAGAAGATAAGGGGCTGTCTCAGCGTGAGGATGCCCTAAATCACAGATTTCTACAAGTGGCTACAGCACTCGACCCTCGCTTTAAGGTGTGTAATGGTCTTCTTTATTTTTCTCTTTTATTGCTTATGACTCTTTTATTTCCTCGGCCCAACTCCCCTCCCCTCTCTTATGGAATAACAACTTCAACATGACTTGTATAGCACTGCTAAAGAGTAAAAAAAAAATGAAAACAGAAAAAAATAATCCATGTTGTTTTATGGATTGAAGATAATTAACCAACTATTACCAAAGGCAGATGAGAATAATGCTATTTTTAATTTCTTTTTAAAACAAGATGCTGTTGGGGCAGTTCTAATTTGGACAGTTTAGACTTGACCATAGGCACAACCAGTAGAGGAGATTCTGGATGATGGAAACCATGTATACTAATGAATTTCATCCAGCTTGTACTCTGTAAATCTCTGATTAATGTGACCACAAACCTGATTCTGATTCTTATTCTGATCTTAAGGACCTAAAGTGTCTACCAAGAGGAGAGCGAGGAGAGGTGTGGACCAGCATTGAGGCACTGGTGCAACAACAACCAGGCAGAGCCACTCCGGAACGCACAGAGGAGCCAGCAAGGAAGAGGAGCCTCCTGCTGTATAATTCCGACTCTGAATCAGAGGATGAAGATGGGCCCAAAGGAGCCTTGGCCCGCTACAAGGCAGAGCCTACCATCAGTGAAAGAGACTGCCCACTGCAGTGGTGGTCCACTCATGAGAGAGCCCATCCACAGCTCTCTGTCCTGGCCCGCAAGTATCTAGGCAGCCCTGCCACTTCGGTACCCTGCGAAAGATTATTCTCCCTGGCAGGTAATATAGTTCAAAAGAAGAGGGCAGCCCTGAGCTCCGAAAATGTGAACAGGCTAGTATGTCTCAGCAACTGGCTGAAAGAGAGGAAGTAATCAGTTAAATGTGTATCCTTTGGCCAGTTGCGTTTCAAATGGGAAAAATTGGAGGTCAATCACTGTCACTTTATGTTGAACTGAACTGTCTGAATGGCCAATGTTATAAAGAGTTGGACTGAATTTCATTTAATTTCTGACTTATTTTTGTAAACAGTTGAACTGTTGATAAATCCACGAATTGTGTTAAAGCCTCAGAGGCTTTTTGTTCTGAATGTACTTGAGAGTAATGCATTTTTGCGTTTAAAAAGCAGTATTAAGCTCTACCTATACCTATAGAGCTACTTGAATTTCTGAGTTTAGTGTTCCTAAATATGTTGAACTTTAAAATTTGCACTGGCCTGTTGATATTTCTTTAAAAAAAATAAACAATATTTTGTTTATTAAGCTTATGTGTTGTCATTCAAAATCCATGTGGAAAAAGTTACTTCCTGCTGTTTCCAAGTATGCGATTAAAATGCGATTAATTCGATTAATTAATTTCACAGCCATGCGATTAATCGCGATTAAAAATTTTAATCGCGTCCCACCCCTAATAAATATATATATATAAAAAAAAAATGTTTTCTCACCCCTCGTGGGGTGGTATGTGTCATCCTCAAGCTCGGGTCCTCTACCAGAGGCCTGGGAGTTTGAGGGTTCTGCGCAGTATCTTAGCTGTTTCTAGGACTGCGCTCTCCTGGACAAAGACCTCTGATGTTTTACCTGGAATCTGCTGTAGCCACTCTCCCAGTTTGGGGGTCACAGCCCCCAGTGCTCCAATTACCACTGGCAAAACTTGGTACTGATATATATATATATATATATATATATATATATATATATATATATATATATATATATATATATATACACTACCGTTCAAAAGTTTGGGGTCACCCAAACAATTTTGTGTTTTCCTGAAAAGTCACATTTATTCACCACCATACATTGTGAAATGAATAGAAAATAGAGTAAAGACATTTTCAAGGTTAGAAATAATGATTTGTATAATAAGATTTTTTTTACATCAAACTTTGCTTTCGTCAAAGAATCCTCAATTTGCAGCAATTACAGCACTGCAGACCTTTGGTATTATAGCTGTTAATTTGTTGAGGTAATCTGGAGAAATTGCACCCCACGCTTCCAGAAGCAGCTCCCACAAGTTGGATTGGTTGGATGGGCACTTCTTGCATACCATACGGTCAAGCTGCTCCCACAACAGCTCAAGAGGGTTCAGATCTGGTGACTGCGCTGGCCACTCCATTACCGATAAAATACCAGCTGCCTGCTTCTGCTCTAAACAGTTCTTGCACAATTTGGAGGTGTGTTTAGGGTCAATTTCCTGTTGTAGGATGAAATTGTCTCCAATCAAGCGCTGTCCACTGGGTATGGCATGGCGTTGCAAAATGGAGTGATAGCCTTCCTTATTCAGAATCCCTTTTACCCTGTACAAATCTCCCACCTTACCAGGACCAAAGCAACCCCAGACCATCACATTACCTCCACCATGTTTAACAGATGGCATCAGGCATTCTTCAAGCATCTTTTCATTTGTTCTGCGTCTCATAAATATTCTTCTTTGTGATCCAAACTCCTCAAACTTGAATTCATCCGTCCACAACACTTTTTTCCAGTCTTCCTCTGTCCAATGTCAATGTTCCTTTGCCTATCTTAATCTTTTTCTTTTATTGGCCAGTCTCAGATATGGCTTTTTCTTTGCCACTCTGCCCTGAAGCCAAGAATCCTGCAGCCGCCTCTTCACTGTAGATGTTGACACTGGTGTTTTCCTGGTACTATTTAATGAAGATGCCAGTTGGGGACCTGTGAGGTGTCTGTTTCTCAAACTAGAGACTCTAATGTACTTATCTTCTTGCACAGTTGTGCAACGCGGCCTCCCCCTTCTTTTTCTACTCTGGTTAGAGCCTGTCTGTGCTGTCCTCTGAAGGGAGTAGTACACACCGTTGTAGGAAATCTTCAATTTCTTAGCAATTTCTCGCATGGAATAGCCTTTATTCCTAAGAACAAGAATAGACTGTCGAGTTTCAGATGAAAGTTCTCTTGTTCTGGCCATTTTGAGTGTTTAATTGACCCCATAAATGTGATGATCCAGAAACTCAATCTGCAAAAGAATGTCAGTTTTGTAGCTTCTGAAACGAACTAAACTGTTTTCAGATGTGTGAACATGATTGCACAAGGGTTTTCTAATCATCAATTAGCCTTCTGAGCCAATGAGCAAACACATTGTACTATTAGAACACTGGAGTGATAGTTGCTGGGAATGAGCCTCTATACGCCTATGTAGATATTGCACCAAAAACCAGACATTTGCAGCTAGAATAGTCATTTACCACATGAGCAATGTATAGAGTGTATTTCTTTAAAGTTAAGACTAGTTTAGTTATTGTCATTGAAAAGTACAGTGCTTTTCCTTCAAAAATAAGGACATTTCAATGTGAACCCAAACTTTTGAATGGTAGTGTATATATATATATATATATATATATATATATATATATATATATATATATATATATATATATACACACACTCACCGGCCACTTTATTAAGTACCCCATGCTAGTCACGGGTTGGACCCCCTTTTGCCTTCAGAACTGCCTCAATTTTTCGTGGCATAGATTCAACAAGGTGCTGGAAGCATTCCTCAGGGAGTTTGGTCCATATTGACATGATGGCATCACACAGTTGCCGCAGATTTGTCGGCTGCACATCCATGATGCGAATCTCCTGTTCCACCACATCCCAAAGATGCTCTATTGGATTGAGATCTGGTGACTGTGGAGGCCATTTGAGTACAGTGAACTCATTGTCATGTTCAAGAAACCAGTCTGAGATGATGACATTTATAGATGATGATATAGATGAGATGATGATATTTATAATTACATAGGAGCGGGTTTCGCAGCCATGGAGGCAGACATCTTTGCGCTACGGCAGCGCAGAGCCAACAAACTAGCGATTGCGAGATCGCCCATTACGCTCGAAAGTAACTACGGCAAGTTGAGTGAGATGAACTGAGACGGTACTGAAATCTATACCCTACACAGACTAATGAAATACTATCTGTAAAATTATCTATGTAAACAAACCTCATCACTTGAGAAGGTAGGTGATGCGGACGTTGTGGAAGACATTTTGTCCGCTGTAACGCTCGCCGTACTGTTGGGGGGGAGAAGCGGTGGGGGGGAGATGTTCATGTTGCTGCGGCCTGCAGTCTGGACGTTGGATGTCGCTGAAAATTACACACTGTAGCTTTAAATGGAGAGCATGTAAACTTCAAGCATCATCATAAATAATGGTGTATTGAACATTATTTGTAACTCTATTAAAGGTAGCATGGAGGGTTTTCTTGAATTTTTTAAAAGATCTGCCCTCTTCACTTAAAAAAAAAGAAAATGGGTGTACGACAGCATGCACAAGCCAAATTTCTCCCCATGTATACTCTGTTTAAAAGTTGCTGTTCTCCTAGCCCATACAAGTTTACTGTGTCCGAACATCCGCTCTAACCCCTAAATCCCTCAATCACTATATGAGTGTGGAATTTATAGTGAACCAGTCAACTTACCGCTCAGACAGATGATCACTTGGTCCACATAGCCTGCGCCATCTTTGTTATTAGTTGCCACTTTCGGGTAGCGGCAGCCTATGGTGACAGCGGGCCACTATGACAGCGAATCCCATAATGCTTTGCGTGGAGATCAGTGCAATTCATTCATTCATCGGCGCAAAGGATATATCTACCTCTTCTGAGGCCTTTCTTTTCTCATGCACCTCGTAGACAAATTTTCTCTTATGAGCCTCAGCCATTTACAAAGAACCTCAGTCAGAAAAGTGAGCTTCAATTACTGTCTGAAACCATAGCTCACCACAGATATGTCTGAAATCAGTGTTGTGCCTGAACGCGTTCATTGAACGAAAGTTCATAAACTCGTTCATATTTTGGGCGAATGTGAACTGAACGTACTGTATTACTGCCTGATGAACGTTATGTGAACTCGTTCATTCTGGTGTCTGTGAACGACACGCTCTCTCAGTTCAACTCCGTTCAATAGGTTGCCAGATTTCTATAGAGCCCTCCAGGCGAAACCCCAGCTAAATCACACCGTAAACAGGCCTTAATATGTAGCGGGAAAAACACCCAATCTGGCAACACCAGCTACCAGTGTCGTAGCCTACAGCCACGTGCGTCATCAAAACAAAACGCAGTGAGGAAGCCACAGCAGCATGGAGACGACCGTGGAGGCGACAAAGCAGCAGTATGATCACTTAAAACAGGTTTATGACCAGGTGGTCGGTGAGGATGATGGCAACAATCTTACATTTCTCTGCAAACTTTGCTTTCAGTAAAAAAATCCGCACTTCAGTAACCTTAAATTCCTACCTCAGCCTGGTCCCTCAGTTAGTGTTAGTAAAATGTTCTTGAGGGTTTTTCTATTCATGTAACTTGTTTGTTAAACCTGCCTGGTATAATTTTCCAGGATTCCAGTATTGACAGCAACAAAGCATTAAAGCAACAATGGGGAAATGCTGTCCCCTCAATGCTAATGTAAACCCTGGTTGGATAAGGATTCAAAACTGGATATGAAGATGAAATCTGACGCACAGTTTCAGTGTTACAACTGATAAAATTATTGCTGTCTGTGGTTCTACAGTAGGCTATGGTGTAATTGAGCAATACATGAAAAAGAAAAAAAAAAAGAACTATGAACTAGTTAATTTTTTGGAACTGTGAACTTAGTTCAAAATTTTGAATTATGAACTATGAACTGAACTAGTTCATTTTAAAATGTGTGAACTGAACTTTGAACTAGTTCACGTAGAAAGAGAACTTTCCCAACACTGTCTGAAAGTCCACATGTGCAGGAAAAGATAGCTAACAGTACAAGCATATAGGGCAGCCTTACGTAAACATATTACCAGAATAATTGACAATTAGGAGGACCACTTATTTAGAAGATCCATCCAGAAATAAAAGATTGTCCTCTATACCTTTAATAATCATTTCGAAGCAGTTAAACAGCAGTTAAACAAATATTTCAAAGAAGCTCTAATCAGATAATACTAAATATAAGCCTGTAGTTAAAAAAAAATCCATCCCTAAAGCATGATACTGTGATCTGCCCATTATTCTAGTGAGATACTTTTCTTCCGCAAAGACTTGGAGACTGCATACAGAAGGGATCAAGATGAACGGAGAACGGCTTTTGTCAGGGTACGCA